AGAAACTCATGAATGAACAGGAAGTGATGTAAGGCACTTCCTGTTCATTCATAACTGGGGACACATAGTACTAGTACTATGTGTCCCCAGTTATGAATGAACAGGAAGTGCTTTACATCATAGTACTATGTGTCCCCAGTTATTGACAAACACTGGAGTGATCAGCAGATCGCTCCAGTGTTTGCTCTGCACACAGAGGATCAGTACATATCACTGATATGTACCGATCCTTCGCTGCCCAGCCACGCACAGAGGAGCGGCACAGCCTGCAGCTTTCCCTCGCCTGTATGGGCTGAGGCAGCGGGGATCTGAGGAGAAGGGAAGCGCTGAGGCCGGCAGGGGGAGCAGCATGGCCGAGCGATGAGGCGAAAGAGATCCGCCAGCTGTCGGATCCTGGCCGAGCGGCTTTTTTTACTGCTACAAATACCTAAAGCTTATTAAGTCCACCTTCACCCTGGAAGATACGGAGGCCAGTTGTGGCACCCACATCAGTTGGACTACCATAAACAGTGATTACATCAGTGGCTTGTCAGCATTCCCAAGAATTGTTATAGATGTGTCATCGTCTCTAATGTTAGCCGTCAGATTGTTTAGGTTTAGGAGTTTGTACTTGATACTTAGTATTACTTTTGGTTTGTGATACTGCATTTCTCGCACTATACATAAAAATTTATTGTACAAACATCCCCCACAAAACTGTAGTCTAGATGTTTAAATTCATATGGCTCCTGGCCAGTTACGATTTAGACAGATTCTTGTTCTCCTATAGCAAAGTGCAACTTCCAATGTAATCTAAACAAAGTCAAAGTACAGGAGATATAAATGATCACTGCAAAGATAGCTTCCATATTCTAACATAGTTACATACTGTATGTTAAAGTGGACCTTTACCCCCCTTTGAGTAAAAATCACATCAGCATACAGATCTACATGCTGATATGAAATAGTTTTACATTCATTAGCTAAACAAACATTATTATTTCACTTACAATTTCTTTTTTCTCCACTTCCTGATCCACTTTGGCACAAATGATGTAATCATGCTCAAGCATTGCATTCTAGGAAGGTTACATCATGAAAGAATTGCTGGGAAATCTCATCTGTAATCTCATGAGATCTTAGGGAAAGGCATTTACCTCCCCTGAGATGATGTGCATGGTCACATGTCCTAGTCACATGTGCCAGAGTTCCAGGAAGTAATGGGAGATCTATTTACCTGCTCTTAGTTAAAATGGCCACTGTCAGAAGACTGGGGAAGAAAAGAAAAATAAGGTATGCCAAAAAAAAAAAAGGGCGGCGATTATCTATAAGTATCTGTTTGCAGATTGTCTTTACTAAACATTTCTAAAGGTGTCCTTGTTGTTATTTTGAAGATATGGGTAAAGGTCCGCTTTAAGTTCCATATGCTTTGTGTCTATAAATGGCAACTGTAAAAGGAGAAACAAAGAAATATCAATGTTGCCTTCGATGCCTGTTCAATGTTCGCTGACAGAGCCATTTTTTCCATTCTTTTGCACATGTTAAAATGCACATTTTAGGCCTGAAGATTATGTAAAGCCCCCAAAATATTATAGATTTTCTGAAGAGATCTTGTAGAATGAAAGGGTGGCAGTTGCAACTTTTTATGTCACACGATAATAGCACAACTGTATATCAATCCCATATTTTCACCAAACAAAATGCATGTAGAAGAGATCAGACAGGCATTACGTCTGCGGCAGCGAAAGGATTAAAGCGAACCTGTTCTTTGCCTTTGCACAGAAAAGCAATAGGTTTACCCCACTAATTGCGTATATTTATCTTTCCCTAACTCTCCTGCTCAACTGTTTGGCCGCTGCAAATGACAAAAAATTCTTAGAGGGGAATTTATCAAAAGTGGAGTAGCTATGCATGGCAACCAATAAGCATCCACCTTTCATTTTCAAATCTTAACTGAACAGACTGAAGTAAGAAGTTGATTGGTTCCCATGGGCAACTGATTTATTAGGGCTTGGTAATGCTGAACAAAGCGTGCACTGATAAAAGTGGAGGGATCCTGAGGGGTAATGAATACGATCGCTTCAGATGTTTGAAGCAAATTTATAGCGAAAACATTTTTCTTTTTAATTTTGGATAGCAGGTGCAGAAGGATTGGAACCCTTGTCATTTGGTACTGCTATTTGGGGCTCACAGAGATTTTCCATCACTTCCTGTACTGGGTGCAACCTTTTACCAGACAGGAAGTGAGGGAAAATCTGCAACAAAGAAACAGACAACAATAAGAAGCTGACAGAGTTTCTAGCATCCCTCTGCTTAAAGCTGAAGTAAAGCGCTTTGAATTTTTTTGGGTTTTGCCCTAATGTGCAAGTATGCATAGCATACTTGCACAATAGTAGGGCACACTTACATTACAAGTGTGACCTTCTCCAGCACAGTTGAATTGATCTTTGGATCTTAATGCTATCCCCTGCTTCCGTCCTCTCCACCACTGACACTTATGGGTTCTCAGCAGTTCTCTTTGGCCATTGGGTGGTCACTGATGATATAACTCCTGCACATACCCACAAGGAGGTAGATCTTCCATGGCACCTGGCCAATTTACGGCATCTTAGCGACGCTGTGAATAGGTTGAGTGTGTACATCCAACATACAGTGGAGGGAATTTATCAGAACTGGAGCAGACAAAATTGTGAGCAGCTGTGCGTGGCAACCAATCAGCTTATTTCTCTCATTTTCAAATCTTAACTGAACAAACTGAAGATAGAAGCTGATTTTTTGCCATGCACAGCTGCTAAATATTTTGTCTGCTCCAGGTGTGATAAATTCCCTCCAGTGTACTCAAGGAATACAAGAAAAACAAAGAATAAAACATCACTGGATGAGAGGGGAAGAGAGAAGAAACTGCATATCTCAACCTCCCAGAGGTTTTTTGTTTTTTTTCACCTTTACTTCAGCTTTAAAGTGACATGATGGACTACAATCTCACTTTTAATTTACTAAATTTGTATTGAGATTGTAGTCCATCACAGGAGCGAGCTTGGAGTGGTGGCTACATTACAACACACACAGGGACCATGGGGAACAAAAGTAGCCGCCCTGCAGGAGGAAGGACAGTGTCGGCACCAATTCAGAGATGATTTGAGGATCTACAGCTGAGTGATACACAAATAAGATACATTTTTGTTAATAGGATAATTGAATGCATTTTTAAAGGGTTAATAAACATATTTTTGCATATATCTACTGCTAGCAGACAGTAGATATATGCAAAACAAATTTTAAAAAAACAAAACTTTTTCAAATGGTTAATGCTTACCTGTGTCTCCGCCGCACGCTCCCGTCCCAACATCTGAACATTTCTCGGGCGGCCGCAAAGGATCTTGAGCAGTTCAGATGTTCGGCCGGGAGATGAGGAGAGAAACAAGGTCAAGTCTATGGAGCAGCGTGCACCCACACAGACTCCATGGGACATCAGAGAAGAGGAGGACAGAAAAGTCAGCGCTGGATCGGAGATCCGCACCAGCGCTGGAGGGACAGCTAAAAACTACAGGAAAGAGGAAGATGAACGGATTAAAGAGGCATCGTTTAAGGTAAGTCCTTACATTAGTAGTGGGGGGGTGACTTTTGACCTTAATGTCACTTTAAGGTTTAACTCCTTTAGTGTCACTTTAATAAAAAATAATATTTTACTTCTGTCTGCGTTTCTCTTGGAGAGTTTCCTTCACTTTAAATTCTGTTCCTATGTAAACACTTTGATAGTGGCGAATCCATCCCCTTGGGATAACTGAAAATTGTGGCTATGTCACCCTAGAATAGAGACATGAGGTGTAGGCTGTAGGCATCAATTCTTTATATGTGAATCCAGTTATACAGTGATGCATATTTTACATGTAATATGATACATCAACATTATCTCAATAACTGAGAGACTGAAAAAAACAAACTTGTTCCTTCAATTAAAAAACATCATATGTGGAAATCTATTCATAGGATTTAAGCATTCCTTTCATTGTAGCGAGCAGTTTGAGTCCCTCCCCAGCATCCAGCATGTATCAGCAAGTCTGCGCACCCTCCCCCTTAGTAATCTCTGGACTCCCTGAGAGCAGACATGGCTTGTTTTTGTCTGCTGGTTCTTAGCTTGTTCTCCCTGTGTGGCGCTGAAGTCAAAGCTGAAGAAAATGCAGTTGAAGGCCTGCCACCATTTTGTGGCTCATATGAGTGCCCCAGATATCAAGTACTGAAGAAATACAATGTAAGTCAGTCTTTTTATTTAAAAAAAGAGGGGTCATGGGGAACAATAAACTACTTAGAATTTTTACTGCCATAATTACATTTCATTTTAGTTATATTCTCTAACAGATACACATAGCTGTCCAAAAAAAAATTGATTTTACTGTTGCCGAAATTACGCCAAAGTGAGTATTTTCAATTTTGTTCACTGAGCTGCTTAGATGAGATTTGCTTGGAAAAAATACTTTTCTTTATGAAAATTTTGTGTATTTAGGGTTGCTTAGTTTATTTCATTTAGTATTCTGTTTTGGTGTTTTTTCCTTATTTGTGTACTGTTCTTTAACTTTTAATTTTACTCTATTTTTTCCCAGTTAATGACGACAATTTTGTGGCACAAGAAAATGTTTCAGGATAGTTAAAGCAAGCTTTTGTATCTTCTGTAATTACAGCCATTTGCACCCTTAAAGACCACCAAAATCCACCGTATTTTCTCTTTACCCATTGACTACAGTGCATTTTACCAAAATGCCAAAATGTTTACCACAATATCCAGATTTGTACTGAATTGTTTGAGTTATATGTAATCTCCCAATTTTGCTCATCCCTTGGATTTATTTAGCATGTAGCACAGCCATGGGAAACAAATACATTGCTTACTCACTGATATATTTTATTGTCATTTAACAAATAGCTTAAAGCTTTTTTTTACATACTTAAAAAGCTAAACAAATCCAAATGATGTGAATTGAACCATTGCATGTTTACCTTAATTTTAGTAAATGTCTATTAAATGTCAAATTGCACTTCAGATCTCAGATTCCTGAGAGTGAAGAGTTAAATCTTCTCAGGTTAAAGAGTTACTACAATCTCTGTCTGCTATGTAAAGGTCAGATTACCTAATTTTGCCTGTGAATCACTCTTTACTTTATCCGTCACCTGAACTTTCTTCTGCCATATACTGTGAGAATTTGCTCAGTGGGTGGCCCTCTCAGCAGTCTTCTGTCTGGCATCTTTTGATCACAAAATTGAAGGAGCTGGTTGGAAAATTTTGGGGTGAACAGTGACGGCAGCCAATCAGCACAGCACACCTGACGCTGTTAGAATACAATAGCCCAGCAGGAGATTTGTCCATCCATGCTGTTTAGCATGGATGGAGGAATCTGTTATATTTTTTGCGTTGAGACCACAGTTTAAAAGAAGAAGATGTGTATGGCCGGGTTTAGGCTAACTATATATGGCGCAAATTTTGGCTAATTCCTTTTAAATCAGATGAAATTCAAACTGTGGTTGGCCCTGTCAGGCCTACAAAAATTCATTTTTAAAATGAAAGAAGCTGATTGAAATTGTTGGCCAAACAGCGAATGCAACCTATCATACAGCTACGGGTGTCGGCTGTCTGAATGCAATAGCTGACAGTGCAGATTCCTCCATCCAGGCTGTTTAGCGTGGATGGGGGAAATCAAGTGATTCCCTGTCGGATGAATAAGAAAAATCTACATGTGTATGCCTAGCCTAAATCTGGCCTTACACCTTACAATTATCTGCAGATTTTCTATGGTCAGATGGAAAAGGTGCAACAGATTCATCCATCTACACTGTGTGGATGGAGTAATCTCCACCTGGGCCAATCTGTTGCACTTTTTCCATCTGACCACAGAAAATCTGCAGATAATTGTAAGGTGTATGGGCATCTTTAGGCTGAGCGCACATTAGTTATTGTTTGCCTTGCAATTAACTACATTCCGTCCGGTCGTTGTAATTAAATGGCCAGGCAGTGGCTTCTTGAATGTGGGTGGGTGTTTTAAAACATCCTTTCCTCGCATTACCGACTGTAATTTAAACAGCCGACGATGCTTGTTTACATACAAAAAATTTAAAGGGCCAGTATCTAGGGATGTCCCGATACTGGCCCTTTAAATTTTTTAGACACAGCGGTTCCAGCCATTGGGTGACCTCGGCAGCCTGCTCTGGATCTGGCAGTATCTGTCCCTGACAGTGCCTGTCCAGTTCTATATCTCCTCCCTCCCGGTGCAGGCACAGCCATGGACAGCCCCGGAGACGGCACTCTCCACCAGTGGCCTCACAAGGGGGGTGCGGCCCGCACCCGGGTGACACCATTGGAGGGGTGACACCAAAATGACTTGCAGTCATTTTGGTGTCACCCCCCTCTGAAAAGTCGGGCGCCCGGTCATGGACCGAATGTCCGACAGTATCGAGAGAGAGGAGGGGACCCGGCAGCATACCTTATCCCGCCAGGTGACTGTCTCCTCCTCTCTCTGCCGGCGTCCATCACCAAGATGGCCGGCGGCAGGTATCGGAATACTGCCGTGCGTGTGCGATGACGTCTCACGCATGCGCGGTGACGTCTTGGTGGGGTGACACTCGGACACCGCTCCGGGTGTCACCCAGCCTCGGGACGCCCTGCTCTCCACACAGCATAGCCACTGCCGGCAGAGCCCTGCAGAGATCTACATGTTGCCCAGGTGAGATTGCAGCCTGGTGAGATGTATGCTGCTCTGGGTACACACATGTATGCTGCTCCAGGGACATGGCTCATTGCCTCCGAATACGAAAGCATTATAATTAATTTTGTCAAAAACTTTATGCTGTACACATCTACTTTATTGTCATAAAACTTTTGTGATCTTACTTTTCATGAATATGGGATGGCAAAAACTGTCCCGTTTTTGCCATCCCAATGTCCTGTTTTTGGCTCAAGGAAATATGCTCAGCCTACTTCTAAACAACATGCATCAAATACTTTAATAAACATATAATGTTAAGGGAAGACGGTTGTTAAAAGGAATGATCTGTTGACAAGGTTGCTATAAAGCAGGGTACAAATAGATCTTCCCAGCAATTGTAAACAATGTAAGTGTAGAAATTCTCTTACAATCTTTCAATGAGTTGGGAGAGCCAATCCCTGTAATCAGAGATGAACCCCAGTACTGTGCAGAACTTGTAAATGATTTTTCTTCTATTGGTTAACTGAATCTCATTTTTCCTGCCTGCAAACTTCTGATTGGCCAGAAGAAATTTGCTGCATTCAACAGTCTCCCTCAAGACACTTCCATCCGTGAAACAACTTGTTCTTAAAAGAAGCTATGCATAAAGCCCCTTTGCATTAGCACCAGTTGCTCAGTTACCCAAGAAGAATTTTAATCCTACTTATTGGCAGTTCTAATGAGGAGGACTGGATTTGGAAAATGGATTGGATAAGAGCTTTTTTATTAAAATAGTTGTAAGACGTATTAACATTTGTAAGAAGAGGTGGCTCTATTCCAGACATTGTTAATATAAGCTCTGCAATTGAGTGTACACCTTTTACTCACGTCGCTGAGTGTGTGCCTTTTACTCATTCATCATTGAGTGTGTGCCTTTTACTCATCATTGAGTGTGCGCCTTTTACTCATTCATCTTTGAGTGCGCCTTTTACTCATTCATGATTGAGTGTGTGCCTTTTACTCATTCATCATTGAGTGTGTGCTTTTTACTCATTCATCATTGAGTGTGTGCCTTTTACTCATTCATCTTTGAGTGTGCGCCTTTTACTCATTCATGATTGAGTGTGTGCCTTTTACTCATTCATCATTGAGTGTGTGCCTTTTACTCATTCATCATTGAGTGTGCGCCTTTTACTCATTTATCATTGAGTGTGCGCCTTTTACTCATTCATCATTAAGTTTGTGCCTTTTACTTATTCATCATTGAGTGTGCGCCTTTTACTCATTCATCTTTTACTCATTCATTATTGAGTGTACGCATTTTGCTCATTCGGCATCGAGTAGACACCTTCTACTCATTCGACATTGAATGAATGCTTTATACTCATATGTCATTGAGTGAACGCCTTTAACTCATTCGACATGAGTGTACACTAATTTACTCATTCATTAATGAGTGTACACCTTTTACTTCTTTGTCATCAAGTGTACAATGTTCACGCTGTCATTGTGCATATGTGTTTCTCTTGTTCCTCATGTATTGTCCTTCCAACGAATACCTTTAGAGCCCATTCACACCAGTGATCTGCTGTAATGCATGGTAACACTTGTTATGTGTGCTGCTGCGATGGTGTACCATTCATTCTGAGTGGCACACCAACGCACCTTTGCAGTGCACCTGTTCTGCCAAAAGTACTGCATGCACAATTTTGGTCTGTTGCTGTGTGTTAGGCAGCCCATCCAACTTCATGGGCTGTCATAATGCAATGCATGTTAAAAGCACTGCAGCAGACCAGGCTGGTACTAACATACCCTAAATGAAAAATGACACCTGTAAAATTCTCTCATTCTCTCCCTTTGTATAAACTTGAAATAAAATAATGCCGCTTTGAAGTTAAACTCCAAGCAGATATAAAAACACATACATTAATGTTCATGTGCTGACAATGAGCTTGCTGATAGTATAGAAAGCAGACTGACAGAGAGATGAGCTAATCACTGTGCAGCTTCTCCTTAGCTGTCCAGTCACAGGATGGGGCGGATCCATGATGACTTGGGCCTAAAAGTGAAGCCAGCATTATTCAACATTGGAGACTGTGACTATCTAATGGCAAGAATAGATATTAGGGAATTAAGACTGTTTCCTGCAGGCATTAGCTCCACTTTAGCTTTATCCAGTCTCATAGATGATCCCCATTTAGTTTGTGGTTGGTTCAGCAATCTCTGGTCTAGGCGTTAGAAATAGTACTGCACCATTTTAAAATTTGTGTCTAACTCTGTGGTCTAAGACATATAAGACCCATGTCAGGAGTTAAACCTCCCATGACAATTAACTTCAATACAAATTAGCTAACTAAAGGTGAGATTGTAGTCCATCACTGGAGTGAGCTTGGAGCAGTGATTACTTTACAACACACACAAGGACCATGGGGAACAAATGTAGCCACCCTCCAGAAGGAAGGACAGTGTCAGCACCAATGTAGAGATGATTTGAGGATTCCAGCTCACTTATACACAAATGAGATACATTTTTGTTAATAGCTAGGGCACTTGAATGCATTTTTAAGGTTTAACTCCTGAGTTTAGTGTCACTTTAATGTGGAGAGTTGCAAAGACAAAACTAAATTTAACACAAACTCACAAAAGTATCACAAATGGGATTCCAGACATAATGATACAAGGCAAGAGTCACCAAAAACAATTTGGTTTATAAATTAGTTGGAGCTGGCACAGTGGTTTGAAAACCAGTTGTAAATTGTATCATGCCATTATTTATACAAACAAGGCACCAAACTTTCATGTCTGTTATTTCTATTGTGTTTTTCAGACGTTTGAGGTTAGAAGATATGATTCCACCTTTTGGGTAACCACATACCTGAACTCGGGATCCATGGGCCTAGGAACAATGAAGTCCTTTAGGCGCCTTTTTAAATACATAAGTGGAGAGAATTCACAAGGTATATCAGTTTAATGTTGCAGTTTGCCTTTGTAATGGTCCTGTAATGGTCTCTGTACGTCCATAAGCTGGCCAAAACCAGAAAAAAAGCTATTTTTTAAGATGCCACAGGAGCTTCTCCTTCCCTGCAGTGGGTAGGCTGAGCTGTAGGTCTGCATGACATAATGAGGCAAATCCACTTCTCTCTTATTGCAAGAAAAGTTGATGGAACTGTTTTTTTTCTTAGTAAATTCAGTATTTATTTTTAAATGCCCTGCTGTTGAAATAGAGTCCTCATTCTAGGAAACTGTTAAGGTGAATAATATGTAAACACTATTATATAATCTTCAACATGGTAATGTAGGATATTAAACCAGCCATAAATTAAATCACACTGTCATGAGAACCGAGCAGCAGAAAGAAAAAAAAAACAACTGATGACTTACAGGAATTGGGTTCGTGTGGAAATTTTTGGGAAATACTGTTACTGCTGCCTGCTCAGGGTCAGGGTCCAGAGAAACAAACCTGAGCTCTGTATGACTGCCTCTGTGGTTTAACCCAGGGCTGTCCCTAAAATGATGTAGCCTGAGTCAAGCGGGGGGTCTGCAGGTGTGCTTTTAGCAACCTGTGACGCTCTGGTCGGCATCCTGCCCAGCTCATGGCAACCAGTGACGCCATCCACCCCCTCTGTAATGTGCACAACCCTGCAAACCTCCTACCCCTGGCCTCAGGTGGCGAAACGTATAGGGGCATCCCTGGTTTTACCCATGAGAGACGGTGTGCATGGTAAAATGGTATTTTCTTGTTAACAGTTCAGTTTTTTAAGGAAGAGAGAACCACCAAAGTTAGACACAGAAGCACTATACCAGAAAGAGGTTGTTAGTACTGCACTAAAGGCTCAAATAGAAGAACATATAGATATTGTGATCATGATTGGGAAGGTTCACTGATTGCGCCCAAATGTCCAGTCCACCAAACCAGAGGAGGTACATTGATGGCTGGAAAGAAAAACAATCACCAAAAGAAACAAACCAAAGTGGGTAAATTGAGACATTAAACACTAAAAAATAAAAACCCCAGTGGTGATTAAATACCACCGAAATAAAGCTCTATCTGTCCCCAAAAAATGGTATAAAATTCATTTCAGTACAGCGTTGCATGACGGAATAAACGTCAGTCAAAGTACCGCAGCGCTGAATACTGAAAAATGGCCTGGCCAGGAAGGGGGTCTAAACACCTGGTCTTGAAGTGGTTAATTATAGGTCAGAATTAGCATTGAAAGCAAAACGATCAACAATGAGCTTTAGATCCTTGGTTCTCAACTGGTGGGTCGTGACCCAAAAGTGGGTCGCGACCCTGTGTTCATCGGGTCCTCATGTGACTTTTCTAGGTGAGGGGCTCCTCAGCCTCCCCCTAGTGCAGCACTGTCAGTTCTTGCGCTAAGCAGCCATTCAAAATATGCTGCCCGATTCCGAGTGTCAGCTTGAGGTAGGGTGGGCTCCATCCATATGTGCATTGCTTACAGCTCCCTCGCATGTCCAGGTGCCTGGACCGGTGTGATGTAACATACTGGCTCTTGGCACCTCTATAGGGTGCGCAAGGGAGCTGTATAAGCACTGCACATATGAATGGAGCTCCATCACAGTACAGCAGCCCACACCGGACCCCAGGCTATGAATCCACTCCAGTTCTCATAAGGTAGGGAGACTGGGTGGATCTTAAAAAAAAAGAAAAACATTAATTTTTTTTGGGAGTGTGTATGTTTGTGTGAGATTGTGTCTGTAGTTGTCTGTTTTTGAGGGCCCATTCACATTAATACAATGCGTTAATTGCACAGTCCCGTACGATTAATGTGCTGTACTTCGCAATCGCACCTACCACGCGTTCTGGTGTGAGAGGTAAATTGAATTTCTATTAATTTGAATGCCAGCCCAAATGCACCTCCCACCCACAGTTCTATTGCCCGCATCGGAATGCACAGTACTGCAATGCCGGGCGTTCCATTGCAGTTCAACTTGGGTCACGACTTAATGACCAAGGACAAATGTGGGTCCTGAGGTTACACAGATTGAGAACCACTGATTTAGAGGAAATGAGGTATAGTCTCACCCAATGGAAAGTGAACTCCCAAAAAGAACAGCCAGAGTTCACACAAGAAAGATGGAAGGAGGGAATTGTAGGTGGTGGAACAGAGAGATACATCGGGTAAAGGAACCAAGGGCAACATTTCTGGACCAAAGTTGGGAAAGATGGTGCCACACAATACAGCAAAAAGTAGGAGTAATTGTTAATCATTAATAATGTAACCATCATTAGCTGTATTCAAAATTCTGCACATCTCTGCAGTGTGCTAGCAATGTTATGTAGGAAGGTAATGTGTGTTGTGTTAAGGCAGCACATTCATTATGAATTATAATGCACCAGGACAGACCAAAAACACTAATGTTTTTATCAATATTTTGTTCCTCCTTAAAAGGTATATCTATAAAAATGAATGTACCTGTTCGTATCACTGTGCCATTGCTTGACACCAACGTTAATTCCACCATGTCTCTCTTCTTGCCATCCGCATTGATGAGTCCCCCCACACCTAATGATCCTTCCATTGTTTTGGAAAGCTTTCCTCCAACATCTTATTATGTCAGGTATGTGAGATTGAAAGCATGTTATTCTCTTTATGTTTGGTTTAAAGACAGGAATGTAAACTATAAAAAACTATAAAAATGCAGTTTTATAACAAAATAATGTTATGCTAAACTGAGAATGGAATAAATATTAATCCAGTCCTATTTTAGCTGGTGTTTTCTTTGGAGGCAGACCAGTTTTTCTCTTAGCACAAATTTGAATAAAGGAGGCAATTGTGAAGTGGAAATAATATATTGGAATCTGAGCACATATAAGGTACAGCCACTATAGTAGTATTTCCTATACTTAATTGTGTACCACCATAGCTACCTTGGCAGTGTCTGACTGTCACTTGTGCTGTTATCACATGCCCCCGACCTATACAGCTAACATCTAGTTAGTGTTGTCTTGTATAAACTGGTAATGCTGTGCAATGTACAAAAGCACATACAAACTGTTTCACCGGGCTTCTTGTGATACCTGAAGTTCTTCAGAGAAATCCTCAGCCTGCAATGCCCCGCATACAATGAGGGAAGGGAGAGATTTTAACTGATCCCATGTGTAATTATCTTCATGCAGTTAGTCAATAGCACCAACACAGAACAGTTCCCCCCAAAACATAGCTTTGTTATTTTTTATCCTGCCAGTAGATCCTTTATATTTCTACTTCTTGTCCACCAAAAGTGAAAGTTAGAGGGGTTGGTGCTAACTATTTACCACTGACATAAAAAAAATCCCAAAACATATTGCAACTCACAGGTTATAATAATATCAGACATACATCAGTAAACACCGCATACACACTTGCAACCAACCCTTTCCCCTCCTTGCAGGCGATATATCAGATATAAAGCAAGGCCGTAAAAATACCATATAGAAATAACATTATGGGGCACAAAAGAAGAAGTTAAACAGTAGTGGCATTCAGTTCTAACCAAGGCCCCCAGATTTTTTTTAAATTTAGCTGGGCATGCCCTGGCTTTGAAGATGAGCTTATATTTAGGTAGGGCTTCATATACCAAAGTATAAACTTCCTGGTAGCTGGAGGACGTCTGCTGATGGCAGAGTAAGAAATAAAGGGTTGAAGAACATGCAGCAAAAGAACTACTGGGGTTTTGGTAATGACAGTACCCAATATGCATGCGACATGGAGAATTGGGTAAATCTGAGTCCACAAATCCTGTATCAGATAACAAGACCAAAAGATGTAGAACAAATCTGCTGCTTTGGTTTGTGTGTTTAACAGAGTTGTAATACAAAAGATAAAACATTTTTGAATTGGATTAATTTGTAAGCCATACTGATGATATCAGCACACTAATTTCAGGTTCCCTCCTCCCACTGGTCATCATCCAGAGAAGGTAGTGAACAGAGTAAGGTTGCTGGTTTGAGGCTTGTAGCAGAGAATACATTTTAGTCATGATTTTACATTGGTGGGAGTCTTGAAGGAAGTCTCAAGAGCAGTAGACATCAGTGGAACATGGAGAGAGCCAAACTGCGCTTTCAGGGCATGCCAAAGTAGGAGGTATTTGCAGAAGAAAATAATAGGGAAATCAAGTCCTGTTTAGGAACAGGTGGGAAAGATACCTGATACCTCTTTTTGCCCACCAGTGTGCAGTGTCATATTTTAGTTCCTGCTTGGTCCTGTGCCAGGCCAAAACAAAGGTATCAATCAGGGAGAGTTGCCTGAACAAAAGACCTGTAAATCAGATCCCGCAGCTGTTCTAATGAGCCAATAGATGAGGACAATGTGGCTGCTTTTTCAGCAGAAGAGGTCAACCATTCATGAATAAAAGCCAGGTAGGAGGCCAAGACGTAATGATAAAGCTTAGGAAAAGCAAAGCCCCCATCTACAAGAGAAGCCTATATAGTCCATGTCACTCTTGGTGATGAGTTTTTCCGTATAATAAATAAATAATTGGTGGGGTTAATTCACTGGAAACGTTTTTTAGAGAGGAAGACAGTGGATGCCCTGAATAGATAAATATATTTAGGAAGGTGTATAATCTTTATTAGGTTGATTCTACCTATAAGGTTAAGAGGAATGGTGTGCCACACATTTAGTTAAGAATACATCTGGCTTCTGATAGGACAAAGATTCAAAGAGATACATTTGGATAAATCATGTGGATGTAGATACCTATGTACTTAAATGTGCTAAAAGGGGTAAGGGGAATGTGGGCAAAAACTTAGAACTTTCCATTTTTTTCAGCTGACTTGCAGCCTAAAAATGACACCAAAAGGTATAAATTATATCTTGGAGTGCAATAAACTAGTTTTCAGAACCATCAGGTAGACAAGGGCATCATTAACATATAAGAAAAATACACTCCCTTCAGTGGCCCCATCTAGACTTTATGCCTTTAATTAAACATGCCAACAACTCCATAACCAGGGCAAAAAAGTAATAGGGTGCCTCTATACAGAGGGAAAACATCTGAAACACCCACATTGGTGCAGATTCTAGCCTTGTGTTTCCTGCTTTTGACCCATTTAGGCAAACAAAGTTTCCTGCAGAAAGTATACAGTATTAGAGGCCTACATATTACCCAATGATAAAACCAGACCAGGATGTTACAATTGCCAGCATTGTAAATATTTATGTAATGTTGAATAACATTGCCGTTGTTTTTACCAGTTATGACGCCAGATTGATTGGGCTGTATTAGGGATAGGATCACCAAGGCTAACCTAGAGACTAGGATCTTGGCAAACCATTTCTTCCTCATTTAGTAGGGAAATGGGACAACACGGTTGTACAAATGTTCCCATTTTTCCCCGACTTGCCTTTCTCAAATGCCCCCAGGTATATGTGAGAAGTTCTGTCTAGACTTTGTACCATGAAGCTTCCAATCATAGCAAGATTTCCTTTACCAGACAAAACTGACCGGCTGCTATGGGCAACAGCTATACAGAACTAGTTTTGGCTAGAGAAACACTATAAATGAATTTGAATAAACTTTCATGTATTTGATTTTAATATATGCTGTTAGGTCATCAAATATCTAATTTGAAATGTTTGTTATTGCGTTTGACAGGTCTTTTGGTGGCTATGCAATGACGTCTGACTATGAAAAAAACTCTAAGGCTCTCTCTGAAGAGCTCACCGCCCTCGGTCTAGCCTATGATACACAGACTGGAATGGCAGCAGCCTACAATGACCCCCTGACATTTTTTGGCCGTCACAATGAAGTCTGGTTCAGGTCCCTAAACTAGTAATTCAGGAGGAAAAAAAATGTCTTCCGTTTATGTATTGTCTAGGACCGATTAATATGGAGAGACAACAGTATATTTGAAATCTTATCCAAAATAGAAAAATGAAGTTTCCTGTAACATGCAATCAGTCATTTTTTAACCTTGAAGAATACATAATATCATTAGGCAGCACAGGGAAGAAATACTCATCTATTTCTATTGCATTAGTTTGCTCTGTTTTGTTTGAATGACACTGCTTCCACTGAAATGCGTAGTTTTACAAAAGGTTGGTATTGTCTATAGGCATTTATCTGTAACTTTAAACAGCCAACCACATTCAATGGTAAACTGGGTCACTACACAGACTCTTTTGTCTTATGCGTACTGTATTTTAAGTGTGTCTAAACCCAAAAATTAAAAAAGGATTTCTCCTACCTTGCCTTTTTCTTATTGCTATTTCAGATGGTAGACTACCCTGTAAAATTTTCCCCCAGCCACTTCCTATAGGAGGGTGAAAATGATGCCTTTCAATCATTAGCATGCAGGAGAAGCAATAGTGTACTGCAACGTGATGTGCCAATGCACAGAGACCTATCAAACCGTAGCTTCTTACAGCTGTGTCCACCATCACTGTAATTGGCAGAGTCTTGGAATGTGGGTAGGTGCGCAAATGGCGCTGGAAGTTTGCAGACTCTGTGGCTGTGTTGCCCTGCCCAGTGCCACACAGCCTTTGCTCGCAAACAAAAAAAATAAAAATGTAGTACTGTTCCATTTTAACAATCGTTCTCTGTAGTGGACTTTAAATCCTTCAAGGATTTGGTGGATAGAAAGCTGGAAACCCTGTCCGACAGTTTTGACATGCATCTGGGTCCCACAGACTGTGACAGAATGGACTAGAATCCTGTGCCAGGATCTAGTATCTGGGGGTCCTCCTTAACCAACTAGGAATCAACCCTGGAACCTTATGGGATGCCCAGGTTCTCAGTTTCCTTCAGGCTGGCATAATCAGCACCTGATGATGAACACCTAAAAAGACCTAATCTTGGTCCTATCAATTCTGTTGCACCAACCCTTGGCTACTCATTCCTTGAGTTGCACCTTTTGTTCAAGGTGTCTCTCACATTGGTCCACCTATCAAGGCTCCAATGGCTCAGAGGAACCTTATTGTGGTTCCCTCTCAAGACCCACCTTTTGGGCGATTGCACAAGGTCCCTTCCATGACCCCACATCAGAAGGCTGAAGCACAGAGATTGTGAGCACATATTTTAAAGCTCATTTAATGCTTGTTAAGAATATGCTAAATACCTAAATATCTGTAGCCACCATCCCTAAGCTCTCTAATCTAAAGACCGTGTCCCTTGACAGATTATACATGACTATACTTGACCCCCCTTAATTCACCCCCTGCAAAGTCTTACAAATACCTGCTGATTCTGCTTCTAAGGTTTATGCAGCTTTTTGGAATGGAATGACAACCCTGATTCACCGTTACTGAATTCAAAGCAGCTTTGCCACTCATGTAGCCCGTGTCTGCTTGCACTACCGTGGGATGAGAAGATGTTGCAGGCATACTTCCCAACTTAGGAACCTAAGAAAGAGGAACATGATGGGGAAGGTGACATGCGGTGCGCGCAGTGCGCCATGGTAAAAGTTAGGAGTGACCATATGGTGCTTAAATACTGGGTATGGCTTAAAGGGGCATGGGTAAATAGTCTGAGCCTACTCACTTTATACACTGCGCCCATCTACTGCAGCTCATGTACCCGAAACTCCTTAATCACTTTGCCACAAACTCCCAAAAATGTAATTCTGTCATTACATATTTACATATTTTACATATTTACACATTTGCTGCATACAGAATATAGACACTAACACATTGCCTGTGTCTGTCTCAAAGAAGAACTCTATTTAAATAGTTAAAAATTACTTAGCAACCAGTAAACTGTAGAGACAATAAACACCTTGATCAGATTTATGTAACAACATACATGTTCAACACAGGATATAAGTGCAAAATGTTGTACAGACTGCAGAGGTCAGGTATGTAACATACATATCAAAAGAGAAGCAAAAGGAGCGCCTCCATAATGTAAAAATGACTTTATTAGATAATAAAAGCAGCTAAAATGTACTCCCAAACAACCAAAGGTAACAGGCTTGTAGTGATAAGATCTCAAGAAAGCTGAGGATGGACGAACATCCGAGGCTTTAAAAGTGCAGCTGATGACATCAGCATGAGGCCCCCGGTTGGGAGTACCTTAGAGAAAAGGCTTTGGGAGCCAATCAGATAAAACAATTGTAATATTACACTTTATTCCTCTACCCCTAGGCAAAAAATGAGCATTTAACCCTTGCAGTGTAGTGGGGCCCTGCATTCCTACAGACACATTGTGCCCATAATTCAGTTAAATAAACCGCAGTTTCTTCCAGAAAGAGCGATTATGTTGGCAAAGTCCACCAAATATGGAGCATCACCCGGACTGAGGTGAAGATTTTATTCCAGTGCAGACTCCTCGGGTCCCATGGTGTCTGTCTGATGTGCATGCTCATGCCTGCTGCATTCAGTGGCGTAACCAGAGTTAAGGGCGCAGAAAAACATTTTTCGTCCCCCCCCCCATTATATAAACATCCACTGGAACTGTACCCCGCACCCCCCACAGACACGTTTTTATTTTCATTTTTTAAATTAATTTTTATTTATTAATTCATTTTTTATTAAATATTTTTTACTTTACTTTTAGGGGCTTCGGGGGAAATATCAGGGGTCTAAACAGACCCCTAATATTTTCCTTTTAAAATAGAAAAAGAGATTGAGAACAGAGTCCTCAATCTCTTTTTCTGTATCCCCTGTTATCAATGAACAGGAATCCTTTGAGTGTTCCTGTTCATTGATAACATAGTATGTTTATTATAACTACAACTATGAATGAACAGGAGTGGATATAGCTCACTCCCATTCATTCATAATTGAGGATATAGTAACCATACCATATCCTCAATTATCTACAAACACTCAGCGATTAGTGATCGCTGAGTGTATGTAGCTGTAATACTTCCGGGTTCAGATCCACAAGCCGACTGCGTTCCAGAGTGGAACGCATCGGC